CCTCAAGGGCCGGTCTTCTGCAGGTTTTAAATGTGTCCTTGATCCAATCCAAGAAACCTTGTCTAAGAGTTCAGGCTGTACTGAAGAATAAAGACAAATATTGACTTTCAAGCTCATTAAAATGATACAAAAACTGTTTTTGCCTTATAAACTACTTTCCCGTGACCCAATTTCGTTTTTTAAACAAAAGAATAAAAAACATAACTCCTTTTTAGAACTTCATTTTAATTGCTTTTCTGTTATCAATGCTATAAATTTCTACGTCTTATTTTGAAAGCCAAGCTTCCAACTTGTGCTTGCCGAGGTCACGTGATTCTGCACGTACAATCCGGAAGCCGGTGCCATGTTGTGATATTTGAGGAAATCACTTCTGGGTGAAGTTCCCTGGCAAAAGTGGGATTAAAAACAAACAAACAAACACAGTTAAACAGGTTTCGGGGTGAGCATGGAGGTAAGAGTGGCTGGTGTTAACAAAATAAACTGCTGCGCACGCACACAAGATTACAAAATATAGCACGCGCAGTCTGGCTGTCAGAGCTCATTGGCGGCCTGCTGTACGCGCTGACCTCACTGATCATTGTTCCTCTGTTCACGGACTTCACGTTAACTTCTGCTAACATGTTCAGCCTCATTTTAACCCAGCTGTCTGTCCGAGCAGGCGGACCTGAGGCAGTCTCACTGTTGGTGAACTTTAATCGGTTTAAACAACAAAAAAATATGCCGCTCGTGTATCCAGGAAGGAGCCTCAGGACAGAGCAGTTAAATCAGCTGAAGGTGGCTGTTAAACGCCAACAAACAGTCTAACATCCCCATCCAGTAAAAACCAGCCTAACGTGGGGTGTTAGTCCATGTCAGACAGGAAATTTTCTGTTAAAGGACTTAATTTAGATAACATATGAGTGCTAACCGGGTTAATTGATGCCGAACAGCAGTAGCAGCCAGCTTCCCCTTAAACATTTCAAAATAAAGGAGACATTACTGCACCATAATATTAATTCTCTAGAATCTAGACATGTTATATCAGGTGTATTAAACATAAGGGCCGGGAACCATAATCAGCCCGACAAAGACTCCAGTCCAGGCCACTGGAATGCTTTGGAGAATTTGAAGGAGTGAATAGATTTGAAACTTTCAGTGATATTCTCACAAGTTTTCTAGCTTTTCCTATTGATATTCATGCTACACCAAATAATTACCCAAGAGATAAACAATTAAATTACATAAAAGTTTTTTTTCAATATCTACTGTAGAAATATCCTGTTTTAGGAAAAAAGAACATTATTAAAAATACAAGACAGTTTGGGCAATTAGCTACCAGACGTTTTTCTTTTATTTTACACATTTATCACATAGAAAAACTGTAACATTCTTGCACTTGCACTTGTTTTTCTTATATTTAGATATGCCAGGGATTAAATGTGAAGTTAAACATCTTGCTGTTCTGGCCCACTTAAGATCAGAATTAGCTTTATGTGGCCCATGATGTAAAATTAGTTTGACATCCTTGTCTTAGATACCATAAGCAAAAAAAGCATACTTTAAAATGAAGGTAAACGTGATGCACGGAGCACTGTATAGTTAGTAGTACTGTAGTACTGTGTAAACTTTTTCTGCCATGCTTCATTTCTTTATAGTTGACCTTTCAAAATAAGATGTAGTTACTGTTTGCCATAGAAATGTTTTTATGTATAGGGTTTTAAATTTATAAGGGGAGGTAAATCAAAAACCTGGAACAAGCCAGTCGAATTCCAGTGCCTGTACTGCATTAGGAAGTCAGGAGTGGTAGAGAAGTATGTGAGGGCGGTGCAGAATGTGTTTGAGGACAGTGAGACATTATTAAGATGCAAGTCTCTTGATACTTGCAAGGGTGATGGACAGGCTGACAGATGAGGTCAGGCAGGAGGTGGTAGTCTGTCCCAGACAACGTGATCTGTGGTGAGAGTAGGGAGCAGGTGGAGGAGCAGGCGGCTGTGTGATCTGTCGAGAAGGTGAACGCAAATCCGTAGGTGCGAGGCAGAATACATGTGTGGGAAAAGTCATTTGCAAAGACTAGAGGTAGTGAAGGAGTGAAGTGCAGGAGTTTTTGTTACCTGGGGGCAAACTTACAAAGCAACAGACAGTGCAAAGAGAGGTAAAGAAGAGAGTGCAAGCAGGGTGGAGACAAGTGTGATGGGTGATTTGTAACAGAAGAGGTTGAGCAGTTTGGAGACAGATTAAAGGACATGTTGAGGGTGATTGATATATTGGATAAATGATGTTGCCAGGGAGGAGGAAAAAGAGAAAGACCACAGAGACGATCCATGGATGTTGTAAAAGAGGACATGAAGCTCCAGTAATGATTTTATTTGTCCACGATTATTTTGAAATCCGCTTCGCCCTACATCCGGCTTTGCCCCAGTGTAGCTTGACCGCTGCCTGTTTATCCAACCCACGATCTGTTTCTCGGGATCCATTGAGG